GGTACGTCATGAGATCTTTTCTTGGAATTCAACACATTTGGGATGGTACGTCATGAGATCTTTTCCTGGAATTCAACACATCTGGGATGGTACGTCATGAGATCTTTTCTTGGAATTCAACACATCTGGGATGGTACGTCATGAGATCTTTTCTTGGAATTCAACACATCTGGCATGGTACGTCATGAGATCTTTTCTTGGAGTTAACACATCTGGGATGGTACGTCATGAAATCTTTTCCTGGAATTCAACACATCCGGGATGGTACGTCATGAGATCTTTTCTTGGAATTCAACACATCTGGGATGGTACGTCATGAGATCTTTTCTTGGAATTCAACACATCTGGGATGGTACGTCATGAGATCTTTTGTTGGAATTCAACACATTTGGGATGGTACGTCATGAGATCTTTTCTTGGAATTCAACACATCTGGGATGGTACGTCATGAGATCTTTTCCTGGAATTCAACACATCTGGGATGGTACGTCATGAGATCTTTTCTTGGAATTCGACACATCTTGGATGGTACGTCATGAGATCTTTTCTTGGAATTCAACACATCTGGGATGGTACGTCATGAGAAACCATGCACTTTTTGGAAAGAATCCAAGCGAGGTTCTCGAGCAACTGTCTCGACTTTTTGCAGATTAAAGAAAACTTGGCGAACATGCGGTGGATGAAAATAAAAGTCATGCACTGAAGTAAACACACTTGAAAGTGTCTCAACTGAAGTAGTTTTTTTCGACGTCAAAATATGACACGCCAAGATATAAACATGGACATGTGAAGTTGCACATGCATTTCGAATGGCCAGCGTGGAGGATTTGCCATATCACCACTCATACATTTGTATCAAAACTGAGATGAAAGTGCACGAAACCATACGGCCATCTATGAGCGCCCGACCTTGTAGTTATATATGGCTGTGTGTCAAAACCTTGTACCCCTGTAGTTCACATCAAAATAGCTGGGATTTATGGATGTTCATCCCCCTAAAAATGGTATTTTCATAGGTATTGACCCATACCCATATGTATTTGGGGCCATACACTGGGGGTCTTTGATAGAGGGATGGCCCAGTACCCATCGCGGTACCCACCGCGCCTTGACATAGCGCACTGGGCCTTGAGCATCCGATTTTCGAAAAAAAAACACAAATTTCAAAGCACCAACCACTTGTGGTGAAAACAAATACCCAAAAAATACGATATAGTGATACATTACCCGTAGGATCCATGTATGGTATATATATACTAACATTGGGGGTATATTGATGGTAAATGTAACCATATATACCATACATGGATCCTATGGGTAATGATATACATAAATTACACATATATATATATACATAGAGTAATAAGTCTATGTATTGATGTGACTTAGGTATGAGTTCCATTGAGTTCCTTTCTTAAGATAAGAGGCTGGTGACGCAGTGAAACCACAAATAAAATACCCTCTGGTAAACTAACATAGCTATGGAAAATCACCATTTTTCATGGGAAAACTCACTATAAATTGCCATTTTCAATAGCTATTTTGACATAACCAGAGGGTATGTGTCAAATAAAACACCTGTGGGAAGCTTCTAGGTGTGTCGGATTGGTGCCAAAGTTCAACCACTTTTTGGCGTATTTCCCTCACCAGCAAAGCCACAGAAACTGACTTTTTGCTGAACATGGCCCCCAGCAAGTGGTGGATTTACTGGATCCTATGGGAAAATACAGATCATCTTTAGCAAATCTAAGGAACACAACTGTTTTTAAAGATGATTTTCATACATCCTGATGCTGACTCTCACTGCATGCGACCTGCATAAAACTGCTTCGTTTCATCCGTTTCCAGACTGCATGGATCTTCATCTTGGAAGTGCAGCTCTAGCCAAGTGGATATATATATATACACATTTATATTTATATATATATATATACACATAGTTATAAAGCTTAAATATCGCAACAAAAATATGGGTTTAAAACCATGTTATACACATAAAAGTCACACCAACAGCCAGGCCTTCAGCCTGATCTCGAGTCCGCAAAGCCAGGTCCCACAAAGTCCCGGGGCTCGCCTCGGTCAGAGACATGGGGCTTCACCCCACCAACCAATGCAGCACATATGGAAATCTATAGACGTACACTTTATTTATATATATATATATACACACCTCGTATCACATATCACATATCTCACTTTATATATATAATTATATATATATAAAGAATATATGTATATACAATGAATTACAATGATATGAATCGGCATCATATCACCATGTAGCTTACTATATGCGAGGTTACGATATATCGTGCCCCTAGGCTTGATACAGAAAAGATGTTCCGACTAATCATGTCACGACTATTTTTTCGTGAGGAAGGTTCTGCCGCAAGCTGACTGCTGACCTGGATAAAGCCTTGAAGCTCCTTGTCTTCCAGTGCGGAGGCCTTCGGTGGAAGATCGTCGAAAGACCCTAGGCCCTAGGTGTTGGATGCGTTAGTGGCATTACTGAAACTCAAGATACGAATTCTGGCAGGTTCTTAGCATCTTCAATCAAAACTGACTTTCCAAGAATGGACTTCAAGGGAAAGAAAAGCAGGGGATGGACGTGGATCCAATCCTAGTCAGTGAATTCCCAGCAATGCAAACAGCGCCTTCTGCAAAGTTGTTGCAAGCATTGTGTCAACACCTGGCGGGAGTCGCCCGTGGGTGTTCCTGATCTTCCGGTAGGAGCTTGGTTGAATCCCCATTTCTTGCAGTTACTTTGCAGTGTTTGGGCGGCTTGAAATCATATACCTCTCCTTGCTGTTTGTTGGTAGAGACCTTCCTAGTTAGACAACTTCATCAGGAACCACCATCCAACATCCTGCTCAAGTGATGGCATGGCTAGAATGTCCATGGAATGATGACCCGCGCACAAAACCCCCAGGATCACCACAGCCAATATCCAACACCTAAAGTACAAAATTGACATATACATCATATACAGTAAATCAGTAAGTTGTTTTCTTCCGAAAGGGTTGCGGATCAATCCATCGACTGATACCCTGGGGCTGGTTCGCAGCACCAACCTGCAGAGTCATCTTCGTCAGAGTTGGCCTGACCACTGATATGACATCCTGAGATCTCTGGCAGCACTCCCAATGCCCTGGAACTTCAGTAACTTCAGAACCCTGAAATGACCATGAATCTAGATGTGAACAAACTAAAAAAACTGCGCGGTCTACATGAAAAACGGTCAACTGTTGGGCAGATTCAAACCCAACCCATGCTTACACAAGGACAACTGGGGTGATGTCAACGCACCAAATACTGCAATAGTCTTTGGGCATCATGGTCCAAAATAGGTGAAACATGGTGAAACTAGCCAAACATATTATGTAAAGCGGCCCGGTAATGGAAAGCCGCTGCCTGCAACCAAGGTGTGCTTGAAGGCAAGTACCAAGACCTTGAAGACCCGGTGGGGGTTGCAGTGGGAGACTGGTGAACCCTCCAATCATCATGGACAATCATGCTTCAATATGTCGATCTTTCTCAAATTTGCTCAAAATAATCGTTGGCCATAAATGTTGGTGAATGGTTGGTTGATTCCTTGCACCCCCTAGAACATTATTTTCCTCAAAACGGCCCCCCAACATGAACAAAATCAGTACTAAACTGGGGTTGGTAGTTGTGGGGTATTATTCAAGATTAGTAGGATGGATTATATTATATCCTTTAGGCCGACATATCCAAAAAGAAAGTGAATAGTCAAGGGAAAAACTGTTGTTCTTTCATTTCTTGAACAATTGTATGTTAATTGTGCTTTCCCATGTTTTCTCTTTTCAATTCTTCTTTGGACCACTATGTGGGGCTCTTGATTGGCGGGGATTGGTCCTGGGAGGGTGTGCCTCCACGACCATTGGATGACACGGACGGCGTGTCTGCACCCCAGCTTCTGGTACCGGGTTCCTATATATCCCTCAACTTTTGGTAGGGGTCTGCCACTCTTCAACCGCCGAAACTTCATATTCTAAAACCCACGAAAGAAATATAAGAAATGGATGGTTCAAAACTTCAAAACCTATAACAAATATCATATTTGGGGAGATGATAAGCCGCTTATAAGCCATCTCCCAACCATTTCAAGATGCCCACCAGGATACCAGGCATCCCATAGCCACAAGAATCTCCCGATCCCGAAAAGCTCTGAGCCTTCCCACGGCATGCTGGACATGACCAACGAAAACTGCAGCAGGATGAGGTGTTGCTCCTGGCAGTGGAGAAATGGATGCGATCTGATACCTGTATTGGATCTTGTTTAAGCGCATTTTGGACCAAAAACGCATGCAATCGCGCGCACGCACACGGTCATATATATATATATATACATATATTTTAGACATTAATATGTCCACGACGTATACATTTATGCACATGCATACATGGATATTGTGTGTGTATGCATGTGCAAATGATCGCAAATTGACACCTCTCGTGCTGGTAGTTCTCAGAGATCATCATGCCAGGTGGAGATGGTAGTCACAAGACAAACTGACACCAGCCAAGGAGGGATGCCACCATGTCTAGAATATTCTAGCAAGGAATCTTGGAACATCTTACAACATGCTGCTTATATGTGTATCTTTGTATATATATATATGTATGTATGTATGTAATGTAATGTAATGTAATGTAATGTAATGGTATGGTATGGTATGGTATGGTATGGTATGTAATGGTAGGTAGGTAGGTAGGTAGGTAGGTATGTATGTAAAAATGTATGTATGCCACTTTAATGTGGTAAACACAAGAATCAACCTCCAATTTTGCTGGTTTATACGTTTATAGTTTATACCACAAAAAATGCTGCTTAAACTGAGGATGGTTTATGCTTTGGAGGGTTATCCATTCATCTTTTCTCCATGAAGCTTATACACATGTGGCCTCAGGCAGAAGGACCCCCTCTTGAGCTTCGGGCTGCTGAGAAACAGTGACCATGGGACGACCTCAGTGACGACGATTCAATCACTTCGTATTCTCTCTACCCAATTTCCAGAGAAAACAAAGAATTTGGAGGGACATTTCAACCTCAATTGGAGGTGAAGAGATGTAGGATCTATGATGATCCATGCGCGGTGATGTCGACTATTCGACGAAACATAGGCTGGCACAGTACATCCATTTTGGCTACCTAATTTTACCATCGATCTTGGAGGCCCCAGCTTCAAGAATTGACACTAGTTTCAGATTTGAAAAAAGTACATAGTTTCTGAAGAACCATATGGCCATTGCAGGAGCTTCTCTTGTAGAGAAAAGATTACTTTTTTTGCCACCCAAACAACACCCATGTTATAATGTTTTTGTATATCTATCTTAAGTAGTCTTAAGCTATATTTCTTTTTAGTATTGGATCTGCTAATTCTGGGTCCCCTATGGTCCCTATGGTTCACTTGGGCTACTGAGTTCCGACCTCAATGCTACCATCGATGCCGTGAACCTGCACCAAAATTGGGCACATCACAGGTATCAGTCAATTAATGTCAAGTATCCATGTCCTTTTTCAAAAGAACTGAAGCTCGTTGAAGAAAAAAACTCTAGTGTTTTTTTCTTATATATATATTATAAATAGGAAAATCTCTGGTAACAACTTCTAGGATTTTGTGATGCCAGGCGACGACTCGATCAGGTTTTCCTGGCAGGCGATCAACAGGGAAGCCACGGCGAACAATGATTCCTGTATTTTTTTGAAACGGAGAATCTATAGGGAACAAAATTGCTTTTATTGATATGGAAGTCTTCTTGCAGTGCTAGTGCTGGCATTTCTTGAAAATTTCTCCCTTGATTTTTTTGGATGATGCAATTTTGTGCAATTTTCATATGGTTGACCGTCGGATAAACTATGAAAGCTGTGGAACATCTATGAATCTATGCCTTCAAACAAACACTGGTCGACAAATTGCAGATTTTGCAGATCTATAGAATCTATACAATTACTTTGGTTTACTACTGGAGGGCGAGTCAGTACATCTGGCCATGGCTCAAAATTGGGTGCAGCACCACCAATTTACGAGTCAAATGGCAAATATGTATGAAATCTCTTCATGAAGTTTGATTGTCTGTGGAAAGGGCTGGTGAATATCGAAGCGCATGGAATTTGATGACCAAATCGAAGATGGATCATGCAAGCATATGAGACCTGTGGCTTTGGGTGCCACGAATAGTGATTCATCATCCCAAATAATTATAGACGGAAAGCCGAACATAATGTAAACTTTCAACCACACTCTGGCTGGGCAAGATGCGTTTCATGGTCATTGCACCATCACTTTTGCCAGCATGCCCACATCTGGATTCTAACACGTATCAGCCCCCCATCCCCAAGACCAACGTGTCAGCCCCACTGGAAGGTCTCGAGATATGCAGTGGGTCAGCAACTGCCACCTTTGATGAAAGAGGAACAATCATCGCTTTGTCCTTTGCAAATCTGGTGCCTTTTTCATCCCCCCTATACGAAGTCTGGGAATTTCATTAATCTGTGGTAGATTTCTGTGGATTCACTCCTGGCATACCCCTGGCTGCGGACTCTCCAACCAGGGATCCCAGGGATCCGGGCAAGACCCGCCAGCCCAGCAGCCAAACGGATGTCATTTTCACATCTCCTTTTGCGGTTGGGAGCTCAATTATGCTCAATTGCCAATCAAAATCGAGTCTATCGTGCTTTTTTGCTGCTGCAACCACATCCCATCCAAAGAGCCTTCAGGACTCCAACCAACATTCTGACCAAACAAGACCAAACCAGAAACTAGTTTCTATATGTTTCTATATGTTTCTATCATGTTCCATCTGTTTCAATTCTGCTTCCAGTTGCAAGAGCCAGCACAACACCTGCACCCTGCCTGGTGGTAATCGAGGGTCCACGGTCAGCAGTTCCACCTCAAAGAGTTGCAAAGCTGAAGGAATCCTCATCAAATCCACCAGGGCCCGAATGGCCTCAGAGAGGCGACCAGGATGGGCCCTTGGGATGGCCCTTGGGATGGCCCTAGGGGTGGCCCTTGGGATGGCGGCCAGCATTTGGAAAGGAGGGAGACTTGAGGTGTGAGGCGGAAGTGACTAAAAATATCAACTAAGTTGGACTATCTTGAGATGAGGCATTGCCTAGCCCGGCCTAGCCCGGCCTAGCCCGCAGTCCTGTCCTCAAATTTCTTGGTCTATGTTTATTTTATGTTATTTTCATGCCAGATTTCGTGACTTGATCCAGCTTCAAATCTGCTACACCATGGGGGAGACGATCCGGGACGGAACATCTGCTGGAGCCCCAACTTTGGCAAGTGCCCACTGCTGAAAAAATCTCTGAGGAACCGACGGAGGTGCTGGTCTCAGAGCCCAAGGTTCTGAGAGTCTCCTGATGAAATACCCATGAGTCCCAAATTTGGGTCCCAATAGCTGGCCAGCCCATATGGCTGTATCTGAAACTGACGGATATCCCACCATTGATCATTGCATAGGGATTATGATGGGATAAACTAATGGAATTGGGGGTACCCTATTCTCAAGTATTCAATATTCTCACACAAACCCACATCTAAGCTGGCACCTGGACTTGCAGCAACATGGCATAGGCCAATGGCCTTGGGTGGCGATTCAGAACATGGCTATGCTCTGTGATGACTACTTTGATGCCTTCATTTCTGGATATTTCTGGTGGTGGGCAACCAAACAATTCAGTCTCCCTCTGCCCAGAAAGAAGAGTCGAAAGCTCAAATCCATCACCAACAATCCCTAGATGGAATGGCATCTCGAGATCAGTCAATGTTGGAGCCGTCTAGAACTTTCTTGTCCTTTAAGATCCCCTGCGCGAAGGCTACTGCCCCAGCTTGCTCCGAAAAGTGGCTCAAGACCTCATGGACGAAGGGATCCAGTCATGCAGCTGGAAGCCAGCTAGGTCAATTCTATTGTACATTCAGAACATGGCAGCCCTGCTGTGGCCCTGCGAGAAAAAGCGGATAGGGGGCACTTTGAGATATATAGTGCGAGTAGATTTGCTGACTTTTCTGGGGTTCATATAGCCTTGCTCTTTCTTGACATTTTTGGCAGAGCAAGGGCCCAAAACATGCAGCTGTCCAGCCCTAAAAACATGTCAGGAGATACGGAACAGCAAAGTATCAGGATCTTTTCTACTGCATCAAGCCAGCCAAATAGCAGAACAGCAGATCAAATTTTACCCAGTTGGGTAGGTTGAACACTAAACTATAATGTAGAAAACCCAATAGTAAAGTATTCCATTAACCAATCATGTTTGGATCATTTTACATCATCCCAAGTAGAGGCATACCCAATAATAAATCTCTATTTAGATTTTTTTCTCGGTATACTTATCCCATCATCATGATTATCCCGCTAGTATCTCACATTAACCCGGATTATCCCAGCAATACCCTCTGGTAAACTAACATATCTATGGAAACCACCATTTTTTATGGGGTAAGTCCACTATAAATGGCCATGTTCAATAGCTATGTTAGTTTACCAGAGGGTATCCTACATATATCCCATGATGGGGTGAATCCCACATTCTCCCCTGAGCGTGCCCAACACGGCGGACGCCATCAAAAGCCAAGGCCAGAGTTTCCTTGGCACAAAACTTTGGGTATCCCATGGTCCAAAAAAAGGGGGGATATATATATATATAATACAATATTGTAAAATATTGCAAATACATGTGTAATTATAACATCATATTGATACCCAACACAAACTCGAGATAGAACATGAATGCACATTCACGAACATGAAATAGGCCTCCCAAAACCAGGATATGACCAGCACGATCGTGACATACAGGGGGGGAATATCACCAGCAAAATAACTGGTATATTTTGGAGTATAATGGAGTATATAAGCAGCCAACCATTCCAACTTGCTGCTTTGCTGGCTTCTGACCATACCCAGGAAATCTAGGCATCAAGATTACCAACAATTGGCCCATACCCACTGGGCGGTGATGTGAACTGGTGAAAGCTAGGCTGACGGCAATAGAATGGCAATCCACCACACCAAACCAGCAACAGGTGATAACACATGAGGAACTTCTTTAGAACTTTACTATTTTTACTAAATCTTCAAACGGAAATGGCTCACGCTTGTCCAGTGCCCAACATTTGGGTAATAATCACCACCCGGAACAAGTCTTTCGATACAGGTTTGTGAAACTAGGGTGCCCGAAATCGCATGGTTTACCATAATTCTACCAATTATATAAATTGCTATTTGGAGGTTGCCCATTTTTTCAGACACACCCAGTGGAAAAGAGTTGATTCCTTTTTCCGACATGGTGCCAGTCTGGCTACAGAAGGGGAAGCAACGGTCTCTGTACAAGGAGCTAGTGACTTAGTGGCTACAACGTCTGAATAACACCTTGGAAACCCACGCGGAACCCTAGGAAACAACTTGGAAAACAATGTCCGTAATATAGCAATCTTCGAGCTTCCATGTCTGGGTGAACCTGGGTGAAGTTCTCAATCCATCCCAAACAATCCAAAAAATACTGGCCCAGTGGGGTCATCATCCCAATAATGGTTGAACAAATTTTAGGTTAAACAGCCAAGCAAAGCACCTTTTTGTGGCGCTTGAGCTTGAGCCAAATAGTAGTACGCGCCTCTGATACTTCGATCAAGGCAGGGCTTGCAAACAAGGCGTGGAACAAAACGTCCCCCCGCGGCCAAAACTGCCACAAAATGATCTCCAGGTCCAGTGGAAATTGCCCGGCCCAATTTCCGTAGGCCCCGGCTTTACGGTGGCTTTTGGTCGAACAGGTGCCTTGAACTAATTTACAAAAACAAGGGTAGTGAAAAGTCCAACTCTCACAGCTGAAAAGCACAGCGAAGGGCGCAGCTGCAGTTGGAGATTCCACAAGCGCCGCCAAAAAGTGCATGCCCAAAAATGCCACCTCTGTCCTTGGGTGGCCCCGCATCAAGTGCTGGTGACCCACCCCCTTTTGAGAAAACGTGTTAAGTGCAGGTGAGCTAAGGCAAGAATCACTAAGGGCGGAACGCTTTTAAGGTCGAGACGACACGGGACTCCATAAGTACAGACCAAGGCACGACATATCGTATTTGTTTGGTTGGAGACACTTCGTAAAGTAATCCCCGAGTTGCTCGGCCGTGGGCGTTTGGACTAGGTCACAAAATTCCTTACATGTTTCGGATAGGGAGGCTAGCGACAATTTAGGAGTACGAGCAAGATGCCTGAGCTTAATGCTGTATCCTTTACGAATCGCAGCCACAACTGCCGAGTTGTCTTCCCTTATTGTCGGACGAGGAATGCAACCTACTCCTAGCAACTTGGTCAGTAACATGGCGGCTGGGATGAGTTCTTCATGCAACCCTTCGGCTAATGAATTTAACTCAGCATCAGCGGTGGATCTAGCCACATGCTGTTGACGCCTAGCATGCCATGCTATGGGTACAAAGGTTTGGGGTCCACGGATGACCAAGTATAACCCTGATGTACTGCGTGCCGTCCATTGACATCCACCTAGATCGGCATCACAGAACAAATCAAGTGTTGACTGTTCGGGAGGATCATTGACAGAAAGATGCATGCATAAATCAACCGTACTGTTGAGATAGCATATCAAACGAAACAGCATCTTGTCCGAGTTTCGGCTCCAACAAGTCACTTGACCTGCTAAAACACAGACTGGATACGACAAATCTGGGCGACACAACCGGGTGAGCCACAGGATTTTCATGAGGATGCTGGATGCCTTGTCTGAGATCTCTCCTGTAGTCTGGTAATCACTGTCAATCAACGAACCTTCGGAAACAAATGGTGTGGTAACCGTTCGGAGTTTGGTGGATTTTCCAACAATGCTGAGATACAAATTGACTGCTTCGCGAGAATAGTCCCTCATATCAAGCACACATGACCCTGGAGAAAGGTGATGAAACCGTCCAAGAAATTGGGATAACTCTTCTACATCATCAAGTTGAACTTCCTTCCTAAGGGCAGGCCAAAATTGGTCTTGTGCATGCTTCGGCCCACTGGCCAAAATGTCATCCACGTAAACCACAACAAGGAGTTTGGTTTCATGCTGGAAAAAGACGCTTGGATGTCCGTCCACAGCCTCAAACCCAAGAGATGTGACCAAGACCCTCCGCAAGTGCTTGTCCCAGTACGCAGATGCAAGGGGATGCCCGTAGAGAGCCCGTCGCAGACGAACAGTAGGCCGCCTGAACTTGCCCTTCCATGAGGGAAGCCATAACTCGTGAGGGAGTATGACATAGGTGTCCTCACTGGATTCGAGCAGGGCTTGCAAAAATGCCCTGGTAGCATCAGCTACCCTCAGCATACATCCTGGCAGAAGACCGTAGTACAAAGCTAAATGGACAGCCTGAATGTTTGTTGGTGTCGAATACATCTGTCCAAACTTTGCGGCAGAACCGTACTGATCCAAAATTCGATCACCTCTAAAAACTATCCTAGCTTTGTGCTTACGTTTGTCAGGGATCTCCCAAAACTTGATGGAGCAGATACTCATCAATTCAGCAAGATGAATTGTATTGCCAGATTCCTTTGCCAGTTTTTCTCGCTCATATTTCTCCATCACGGTGGAGTCATCCCATACTCCTATTTTTCTCATTGCAATCCCTTCTTCTCGAATGGCCTTCAATGCCTTTTCATCGTTCATCATTTCATTCCGAGATAGAAGCTTGTGAATTGCCGCAAAAATTGACTCATCAAGAACAGGGAATTGGACTTCCTTTTCTCTATGAGCATGTTGATTAAACGGAACTACTGGCAATGCAGGAATGTGGTCAAATGGCAAACCAGGAAACAGTGTAGCAATAATACAGGTAGCCATAGCAACATTGTAGTAACCAGACTTTGTGGTGAGTGAACCCTCCAAAGGATCATGGAAGCCTTTTGGATGACGACAAACTTTCCCTTGGAATTCATCAATCAAACGTTGTGAGTCAGTCATAATCTTCCATGGACGTTGGGGTCTCTTACCAGCAACCTGCAAGTTGAAAGCACAACCATCTACCCGCACTGACTTGAGGTCTAATGCATTCATGGTTTCAACCACTGTCGGATCCAACCATCCCTCTGAGTCGCGTGACCATTCAAAAGTGACCGTGCCACCCCTAGAAAGCTTCACAAGTTGTGCGGCATCATGAAACCGACGAACCATAGCTCTAGATTGATCACGACGCTGTTCCAGTTTATCACGATACGAGTCTCCATGCTTGGCAATCGCCATTCTCTGCCATGGACTCCAAGCTGTACGTGGAACACTAGCCCAGAGATGAACTGGACCCTCATTCTCTGGCACTTCAATCTGCAACCAAATGAGAAACTGTTGAAATGTTTCTTCATCTTCGACATTGAGGGATTCCTTTGTAACGCCAAGATATGCGATTTGCAAATGTTCAGCAACCCTTTTGAGAGCACTGTTCTCGGAGCAGCAAAACTCCACAAGGATACCATGTTTACGACTTGATTTGAACAAAACCGGTTTACCAACACCCCCCGGAACCAACTCTTCAATTTGACTGATATCATCATTGATAAAACCAGATTCTGCTGAAGAAGCTGCCGAAGTTGGTGTGTATGATGGTGATTCCGGCGGACATTCAGGAACCAAATCATCATTCATGCCATTTTGAACCGTATCGAACATGGTAGGACGATTACGATGAACCTCTGGTGGGTCAGTCTCGTTCCCCCCCCCGGCTTCCAATTGCGGCGCCAAAAGAGGCTCCGATGCATCCAGAAGAGCGTTGAAGCGTTCACGGCAGGCTTGGGTGTGTTGATAGGTCCCATTGATGCATCCATTACAGTGGTCAGTTGATCCAAAAATTGCAATTCTCCGTTTGGTAATGGATCTGTTTCGAACTGCAACGGAAGCATCATCATCAGCTTGAGAATCAGTAGACTCAATTGGAGCTGGTGATTGGAGGTCGGGTTTGGGCTGACACAACATGGGAACTTGAGTCAAAAGAAAATACCACAAACCAACCGGTGGGATGAAATCACGTGTGATAATTTCCCTCACCTTATTCTCGGAAGTCAACAAGTGCAAATCCAACAAGATATGAATGTCCTTGCAACGCATTCCAGGTAAAACCTCGGGTCCAACATACACAGCTGGCTTACCATTGGGAGCGAAGCTCTTGGGAGCTTGTGGATCTTTCGACTTGCCTAAGTACCAAACCATACACCCAAAGGGTAACATCCTAGGTTCAGGTTGATAGGTCAAAGCCATGTGCAACTTGCTGTCATAAACCGGAATTGGTTGTTCTGGTCCTTCATGCCCATCAGGAACAGCCAAACCATGTTGTTGAACAGCTTGACGAAGTGATTGGTCTCCAATGGCTGGTTCGGAAGTCAAAGAGTATTGATATGAAAAGCACTGCATGGCTCTGGTCCAGTGCTCAACATTCAAACCACTCTGAACCAACAAAGATCTGGTACCCTGACGAACCACATTGACAGTTGATTCAACCAAGGGATTGTGAATGGGTGAATTGGGTGGAGCAGGATCAGACAACATATCCAAGTCACGAATAGCCGCCAAGATTGCCGGATAACGATCACTTACCACAATGGGTTTCAAACCTCTACAAAAATGCCTTAGGGCTTTCTCAACCGCAACCTGGGTTTTCGAGCGATCTGGATACACATGTGCAGCCCCGGAAAACTGTCAACACAAACAAGTGCATACTGCTCTCCCTTCGAGCCCAATTCAGTCGATTCAAGATGGTCAATACAAATCCGTTCTAAGAAAGCCTTTGGAGCGTCAACAACTTGAGCATGTCTAGCTGCTTCAGATTGATTCTGAAATCGTTTGTGGGGTCTGGTTCGCAACTTCGATTGCCTACAAACATCACAATGCTTGGAAGCAGGATTGTGACACAACAGGTGGTCAAAAGGAACAAAACCATGCTTTGGTGGAATCTTGGACTCCTTGGGTTCCAGGTCAACATGTTCATCATCAGGACTTGGCTGTGGATGATCATGCGAAGCTTCTTCAGGATGATTTTGATCATAGTTTCGATGAAATTCAAGCATGAGTTCATGGGGTGTCTCAATTACTGGATCTTCCAACATTTCAGCAGGGGTATGAACCACAAAATCGGCCAAATCTTGTGGGACATCTGAACTGGATTCAATGTGGTGTGTTTCATCAATAGCATCAACATCAATGACTGGTACCGGCGCTGAGTCCGCATCGAATGCAGGCACATCAACAACCGGAACTAGTTCTGGTGCTGGGTCCGCATCGGATGCAGGCACACCAGCTGGCATTCCAAAAGCAAAGGAAACATCTTCTTTGAAAACAGGAACATGGTGCTCAACACGATCCGCAACAACACATTTCGAACTGTCAAAAGTTGCATTGAATCCGGAACCACTAGGTACTAATGTCGGCTCATAGTCCGGTCCCCATACAAATGAAAAACCCATCTGCACGAGTTTACCCAGTGACTTCACGAAAGGGCATTTCTTGAGCATGTAAACTAGCCCATCCCCAAACGTTTCACCCTGTGTTTGGATGGTGACCGAAGCGTTCTTCAAACCCCCCCCGGTGCTAAACGTAAGAGGGCTTGATGAGATTGTCTCAAACTCTTCAATCAAATCCAGAGGAACTCCTTGGGAGGTCAAAGCTTCCTTAGAAGCAAGGTGCTCTCCGGCACCGCTGTCAAGAGCCCACTCCACGCTGAAAACATCCTGGACCTGGGGTGCAGGGCAGCTGGCGGCTGCTCCAAGCACCGTTGCACCAACCAAAGCAACCATTCCTGCCTTTGGCTTGGGAGCTGGCGTTGGTTTCGCCTTTGCAGTGTTTGCGGGTGCATTCTCATGACGATAAGGACAATCCGCACCCCTCCTACACAAACCTTTGGGATAAAAGACACAAAGATCTTTCTTTTGTGGTGGTTTCTCCTTTGAGGATTGAGCTTGACCCTTGGGGCTAGGCTGAATACCACCCTTCCCTTGACTTCCACTTGGTTGAGATGATTCTTTCGGGGACTTTCCACCCTTCTTACCCTTAGACTTACCCTTTCCAGCTGCACCAGTGACTGCATTATTTGATGATGCGGCCTTAGCTTCAGCTTTTGGGGCAGGCATTCCAGGTTTCTTGGGACCATTTCTCAAACCCTCTTGAATGGAAGAAAGGTTCTTTTCCTGTTGCTGTTCTGAGATGTGACGAACCAACCGTGACCAAAGATATTCAAATGTTCTCTCCCTAGACCCTACTTGGGACTCCTTGATTCGATCTAAGGTGATGGACAACGGCCTAACCCTTTTCAATCGTTCAAACAGCCACTTTGAAAGCATGGCATCTTGGGGTCTTTCTCCAAGTGGCAGCTGGGTGAGAATGTGCTGAACTTTTTCACGGAAATTAACCAAAGAAGCATGGTCATTTTTGGGCGCTGGGATTTGAAACAATTCAACCGCAGAAATGACCCCTCCAAGAGCACTATCCAAGTCAAACTCTCGAACAATGAAGTTCAGAATTGGTCTTCCCCTCAAAACCTGTTGGTTGGTGAGAGCACTTTCAATGTATGCCTGGATCCTTGGTCCAAAGTGACCCCGAAGTGAATCCTGCTTGGTAAGCCATGAACACAACATACGATCCAAGGTTGGAAATTCATCAGAACTCATGGAAAGATATTGGACATCAACAGGATCAGTAGCATTGAAAGCCTTCATAAGCCAAGTATAAACTCGACCCTCAGCGGATTTGTCAAGGGAATTGAGCATAGGAACCAATGTGTTCTTCCATTGTCTCAAGGCGCCTGCACTATCTGGCAAAGGTGGAAATTTGATACCAGCAGCTTCCTTGAAACGAATGCATTTCTCTTCCAATGATTGTTCCGGCTCAACAACGACTTGAGGCTCTGATGGTGTGAACCCATGACCCACTCGTGGTGCATTACCAAAAGGATCGGGAACAAACGGTCCAACATTCGGGGGTTCAACATCCCTAGCAAACTGATGATCGAAACGGAAATGAGCAGGTGAATTTTGACCAATGGGAGAAACAGGTGGAACTAATTCCTCTTCATCTGCATGAGGTACAGGTTGGTCTTCAAACCATGCTAACCGTTCCGAAAGATCGCTCAACTCTCGAGTGAAATGTTCATGAAGGTCAACATTATTCTTGCCAAGCTTTTCCAACGAAGTGCGAAAACCAAAACATTGTTGTTCAATCGCACCAATTCGCTCCATAACTTGACTTTCAAAAGCATTCATTCTGTTGACAAGTTCGTTAAAACGAGAGGTAAGAACGTTCACATCCGCGACATTTTGGCTTCTGGGTTGACTGGCACTAGCTACAGCGTGAGAAAGATCATGGATTCTTTGGAGAAGTTCTCTCTCTCTGTTCAAATGCACTCCTCAATTGAGACTCCTGGGATGACAATGCCTGAGTGGCTTCCACTTGGAAGCTAGCAAGTCTTGTGGAGGCCTCAGCTTGAACAGTTGAAGCAAATGCCTCAGCTTGTGCCTTAGTCTGCTCAACAGTCTTAGCAGCCTCAGATTGGTTGGAACGAATGACCTCAACAGCAGCCTGTCTTACAACTTCTGAATCAGGCGATGGTGCTACGTACACTTGTTGATGATGGTACGTCTGTTGAAGGTTCCTTGGTTCTGAGTGATAATACTGTTGATGAATGTTTCGCGGCTCCGAATTCGCCCTGGATGGTGGCCTTTGTGCTGATTTCAAATTGTGATGTCGAACTGACCTAATGCTGCTACTTCGAGACGTGGCAGTATCATCCAAAGCCATTGTGGCTGGGACAGCCATAGCCACCGTTGAAGATGACAAAGCTAAACTGCTAGGATCAGAACTTGACATGTTTCTTTCCTCACAAAACCACTCAAATTTCAGTCACACTTCCAAAATCAAAAGATCAAGTGCAAGCAAGGATCAGCTCAGCGACACTCAGTGAAGAACTCGCTAGTGAACTGGTGCGGCACGCAGCGTCCCCTGACCCACGCAAAGAAATCCTTAATACTCTGAACCGACTTGTGACGAAGACTGTCCTGGCGGGAAAACCAGCAAGTGGGCACCTTCCTAGATGCACAAGCCTGGATTACCGACAGCTTATCGTCCAAGTGACAACTAACAGTTTCAGGAGTCAAGATTCCTTTATCACGGTCACTCGTGATGGTCAAACGGACACACTGCTCAGGTGGAATCCCCTCTTCGTCAACCAAGAACCGATTCAACTTAATGACCTGGTTCACTAGGCTACGACGACGATTTTGGGATTCAGGGCCTGAAGTACCAATCCACGAACAAATCCCCAAAAAGTGAAGCGGACTTTCCTTGAGGAATGCAGTGATGGCCTCAACCACTGGCCAACTGATATCCTTGAGCTCCCTAGATCCGGCTGACTCAACGTTGCAAACCCCGTTATAGTCAAGGCTCACCCTAATCACGTTCAACCCAGGAGTTGGTGCAACTGAAGAAGTAACGTGAACAGGTACCGAGGCCTTTCCTAAATCAGCAACAGGTGATGACAACTTGGCCTTCGCTTTCGGTGGCTCAATAGCAACAGAACCGGCAATCCTAGCCAACTGCTTTGGACCAACAGATGGGGTAACCCTTGACGAACTGGAACTACCCGAATAACCAGCAGCCTTTGGAGGTGTTCTGGGACCAGGAACTTTCGGTGGAGTAACTGGACTCTTCACAACCGCAGTGCTTAAGCTGGGCTTTGGGGGAGGACCAGCAATAGCCGTGGAAGCCTTTGGGGTACCCCTGGTTTCAGTCGACACCAAAACACCACTATCAATTGAGTCGTCAGCAGTCAGTTGTTGAACAGTGGGTTCCAAAGATGAAGACTTTGCAAAACGTGGTGGAAAGTACTCCCCACGAGCTACACGAGCTGCTAGGTCCGCCTGTTGGCGGGCTTTCTTCCCACCCCTTGTGGGCTTCCAATTGGGGTCAGTGTATTTGTCCAATTTACCCCGAGGCGGAATAGGATCACCCTTACCACCACCAGATCCTGAACCACCCAACGACATACAATTCCCCGGGCCGCTATAAAGCCAGGTCCCAGGGCAGAGACGAAGTCAGAGAGGTTGCTGAAGGCGAAGAGGAACAACAAAGACCCAGTGCAGTCGCTGCCAGCGCGCAATGGCAAGCAGCAAGCGATCAAGGAAGTGAAACTGACGGTGGTAGAGCTACAGCTGATAACCAATTTTAGGTTAAACAGCCAAGCAAAGCACCTTTTTGTGGCGCTTGAGCTTGAGCCAAATAGTAGTACGCGCCTCTGATACTTCGATCAAGGCAGGGCTTGCAAACAAGGCGTGGAACAAAACGTGAACATAACCTGAAATTAGACATATTTTAAACCATCAACCAGCTAGGAATTCCACGTTAGCTTCTCAGGTACAAATCTGAGATCCATCCGCGGCTTCCAGCAAATCATGAGTCGATGCCACGGTGATGATAGGCACCTGGCCGTGGATGCAGGTGGATGCCACAAAGATTCATGATTCACGGGCTGGTGCTCAGCTTTCCTTTGTGGAAACCGTTTTAGCATGTGGATGTTTTTGCTCATGTCTCTTCAAGATTGCAGAGTCATTGTGTGCTTGAACCATCTTGAACCTTCTTAGATTGTTTTGCATCTTTTGAGAAACTTCCATTTATACCAGAAGTGCGACCAAAGTGCCCGCATAGCAGTTGCTGCAGTACTCGTAAGTGCCAACTTCCTCGCGAATATCTGCACAGTGATGATTCTTCACAGCTTCAGACATGGCATGCCCACAGCGGAAACACATTGGTAGGCCGCAGCTCGCCTGAGTTTGGGCAGGAACGATGAGGGTACCACAGGTGGAGGTGGACCTCATGCTTTCATAGAAGACTTTCTCATGGTTGTGAAAAAAGCATTCAATATATTAGCCAATTGAAATCCATGAGCCCATGAACGTAGGGATGTACATAAAATGTAAGACATACTAGAAATACCTGAAGCATCTTGAACCCCCCAACCACTTCCTGACCATGACGTTCTTCTTCGAAGCTCACTGGACTTCCTCTTGATATTTGGGTATGGATCAAACATGCAACGCCTCCCGGTAATCAAACGTGACAATGGGAAATCTATGGAACATCCTCTGCTTCTTGGGCATTTTAATGCGAAATCATCTACAATTATGGAGGATTTTCCCCCACATCAGGCCATGTTTGATTACCAAAGGCTATGCCAACAGAGACCGGGGAGTTGACAGTTATTAAGTGGGCAATTGCCATATTATACCCCAACTAATTATAGAACGTCCCCAGCTATATGTGGAATATTATATGTTTAAACTTATGGTTATATGATGTTGTATGATGTTATATCACAATTATAAGCCACTAAAAAAAAGCCTGGGATGCACATCCAAGTCTAAATCCATAGGATTCCAATGTGGCATCCCAGCGGCACATGGCAATGTCACCGCTGCAATCTTCTGAATGCTCGCTGTGCGGCTTCTCCCGAGTGCCTCCTGGGTCTTGCGACTTTGGACCGCGCGGCTCATGGCCCAAACTTCGCCGCGGGAGTTGGTGCCACCGAAACCTGACGATTTCGTTGCGGGCGATTTCGGGCAGAGTTGGTGGTTGAAGCTATCAAATTCCCAAGTTATAAAGAAAAATTGGGCCCCAAAACCATCTAATTACGGTTTGGACAACATTTTCAACATAGCAATTCGGACACTCCTGGCTATTCCATGGTATTCCGTTTTTTTGAGACAGCCCCAAATTTTATTCCGTTTTTTGAGACAGACCACGTCCAGCGCCAATGATTTGGGATAGGCAAAAACCACTAGGACCCCTGTATCCCCCATCTTGGGGTGTACCATTTCAGCAGAAAGCCTTCTGGTTAAAAAAACAAGGGACTTAACATTACCTTGGGGCAAACTAACATAGGGAAACATGATCTACAAATGGTGGTTTTGCCACATCTATGTTTGTTTACCCTAGGGTAAGTTCATCTTTTATCATGGCGGGGTCTCATTGCTTCACGTCTTTCTCAGGGTTTGGGTGCTAAAATGGGACTGGTCGAACCACCGGAGCAGCGCCAAAAACTCTCGAACAGCTGGGGATCATCATTCCAATATAGGAATGGACATTGAGAAAAACAAGTGTATGAAACCACCAAACAGGAGAGATCATGTTGACATGGTTGATTAAGGCCTCTTTGTGTGACATCGTGCCATGCCAGGGCTAGCATGACATGCCTTGGGACATTCCACCACCCAGACAAGAGTACCAAAGAACCGAAGGAATTCAGGCCACCAATGACCCCCTTCTCCAGCACGTTCAGCTCGCAGCACTCAATGGGAAAGTGGGCCACAAAGCCAGAATCATCAATATGAGCCTCAAAACAAAAGCGTGTGCAGCATAACAAGAACAGGAGCTGAGCTCGAGCTCCAACTTTGTTGTGCTGGAGACACCTTCAGAGCAGGTGTTCCCCACTGAGATATTTGTATATGCTGCAGCCATCTGCAGCCCTCGATCAATTAGAAGCGGATATCACTTGGTGCCCACTTGTCATTGGGGTTGTGACTAGTCATGGAGCCCCCGAAGTCCGTTCCTTTTTTGACGTTGGTGATTGGAGATCTTTTAACCCCGCTGACTTCCCTTGTCCATTGTGGCATTGTGGGGCGCCTGAACATTCCTGAACATTCTGAATCCCAGCACCCGGGGAGGCAAGAGGATTAAAGGCGTCAAGAATTCTTTATGCATACAAAAAATAAACTAAAATCACCAAATGCAAATGGCAGTTGGCGTTCAAGAACTTCAAGTGGCACTGTGATGGGACGCTGCTATGCCTGATGGTGTTGACTGTTTTGGTGATTCCGCTCAAGCCAGCTGTCGCTTCCTTGGATTTGCTGAAGGGGTCCACCCCAAAAACAAAACAGATATTCCCTATACTAATCTATACTATAGATTCCCCAGCAGATTTTCCCTTGGGAAAATAACAACAAACCAGCTGAAACACCAGGCATCTGAATGGCCTTGGTGAGATTTCCCCGTGGTCACCAGCAACGGGATCTCTCGACCCTTCCAGAAGCAGGCTCGAACGGAGCCCACTTCAATGGGATCACCCAAAGCTGTGCCTGTTCCATGGCAACCAGCAACATGGTGGAACAGGTGGGTTTTTGAGGTGTAAAACGTGGTATAACATGGTATAACCATAGTTAACTATATTATATATATACTTAATGGATCTTAATGGGTATTTATAACAAACATAACTGAAGGATCGATATTTTCCAGATGGGCACCTTGCAGCTTCATGCCTGCGCTATGTGGCTGGATGTCTGCACTGCGGCACTGCATTATTCAAAATGGGTTCCAGTAGTATCCTCTTAGATCCTCTTAGATTCTCTGGGATGGTTTACCTTTGAATTATGGTGATTTTCCATGGCAAACTCTTAAATTTCATTAAATTTCCATATCATCCCAACTATATCCCCCTTATGCATCCATATTATCCCACACCATCTTTGATCCGTGTTGGCCTGTGCCGTGATTCTCCGTGCACCAAATCTCTTGAGGTAGGATGCCCGCCAGTCGATGGGATGATCTGATGCACAACTGCTGTGAAGGGCCGTTGGGAGCCTCGCTTGGTCATGGCTGTATGGCCCATGGTGGGATGAAAAAAATTGACACATGGAAGGCAGGAAAAAAAACCTCGAAAAAATCCTCAAAGATCCAATGGAATCACTTAAACATCACAGGGTTTGGAGATCAACAACTGGATCAATCGACTTTGTTGCCACCTCTTGGGGTTCTATAAGTTCTGTATTCATAACATAACATGACATAACAAAATAATGTGACAAAAAAGGGAATAGTGCAACACTACACTACATTAACACACCAATGCACAAAACAACATAGAATATACATAGTCAAATGATGTTAAATATGTATACATAGAAATCATGGAATGATAGATCATGCTGAACATGGTCAAAATTGTACGAAACGGTCTGAACAAGTTGATCTCAAAGGAAGGAACTTTCACAGCCAGGTGCTTTCAAATTCCGAATCATAGTGACTTTTGCTATGGCAAAGAGAAGAAAACTTTAGGATACCCACAGCTCTCTGATTCTCTGGTAATCAAACATGGTGCCGAAACATCCCTATATTCAAGATGCAAATCACTTACAAAGCAATAACATTCAATTGCTAGACTACCAAATTTTCGACAGCTTGAGCCAGGCCAGGAAACTGTGAGGGAGGCGCTGCGACCATCCTGATTCACGAATCCAGAGACAAAGCTGGCCACCCGATTTTCCACGTCTTCTGCGCCCTGGCCTTTTTTAAACACACAGGCAACCACCGCCTCCCCTCGCGCATAGCCGTTGGCCGAGTTGTCAAAAGATTTGCAGCGCCCGGTGCGGCCCAACATGCCAGCGCCGGATAATCCAACCTCAGTAGCTTCCACTTCGGTTGCCCTTGAGGAAACAAAGCTGACAACGGAACCTATATGCAGTTTGTAGATGATTGAAACTCCTGCTCACAATATTCGGTTGCTAGGTTCAGTATTTTTTCCCCATGGTTCAAGTTGATATTGTCAGGACATATCAAGACCCTCACTTGTATATATATATAGCGACGGACATGTACTTAGAACATACTTTGGAAAACATGAAAACCTTCACAGCGGGATGTTCTAAGTATAGGGGTGGAAAAAAGTAGTTAGAACATACCCAAAACCTATACTTAGAACACTTCCAAGCTATACTTAGGACACTTCCAAGCTATCTAAGTATGGTGTTCACCAAGGTATTTGTGTGTATATATGCAGATTTACCCAAGTAACTGGACATGTTCTAAGTATATGTGTGTTTTAATGTTCTAAGTATGCAAAAATCAAGGAGATGTTCTAAGTATCAGTTTTTCCGATGTTCTAAGTGCATACTTAGAACTATTTTTGATGTTCTAAGTAGTGGTAATTTTGATGTTCTAAGTACAGGTTAAGATATTTTGGAAAATTTGATGTTCTAAGTATATGTCCATCAGTATATTATATAAATATCAAATACATATATATATAATAAGAAGAATAATAATAATACTACTAATAATAATAAAAATAAAAAATAACAATAACAATAAAACTAAAAAAACAATAATAATGATAATAATAGTAATAATAATAATACTAATAATTCAAAAACAATAACAATAAAACTAAAAAACAATAATAATGATAATAATAGTAATAATAATAATACTACTAATAATAATAAAAATAAAAAATAACAATAACAATAAAACTAAAAAACAATAATAATGATAATAATTTATTTCAAACTTTAGCCTCTTAACCTGTGGGCCTTGTGGACCATGGAGGGAACTATGGAAGGGACTATGGAAGAAACCAGGGCAATAAGGATATCTTATAGAAGGTGATGTTAGAAACCATGTCAAGGGAAAATTGTTTTTGAAGAAGTAAAGAAACAAAACAATGCACACAGCGAGGACACATCCAGATTCATCAATCTGGGTTTGCACTCAAAGTCGTGAAGTACTTGACCTGAATTGAATTTGTATTGTGGACCGGTGATGAATTCAGTTTTGCTAATAACAAAAACTTGCCATGGATACTTTATACCTATCTGATCCACAGTCTATAGATATAAAAATCTGATTGTGAGATTGGGGTGAACTTATGTTTCGGCCTTTCTTTTGAAGACTAAATCTACTTAGGTAATCTTAGGTGCAAATAAAATTCTACTTAGGCGTCACGAACTGACGCCTAAGTAGAATTCTATTTGCGCCAGATGGATTATGCATTCCAAATTCTAGTCTGGGGCTGTTGGAAGACAAAATTCATAATCTACTTGGGCGCAAAAAGAATTCTGCTTAGGCGTCACGAACTGACGCCTAAGTAGAATTCTATTACTATTTGCGCCTTATTAGACCACGTCTTCCAAATTCTAGTCTGGGGCTGTTGGAAGACATAATTCATAGTCATAGTCTACTTAGGCGCAAATAGAATTCTAGTCTGGGGCTGTTGGAAGACATAATTCATAATCCACTTTGGCGCAAAAAGAATTCTGCTTAGGCGTCACGTCACGAACTGACGCCTAAGTAGAATTCTATTACTATTTGCGCCTAATTAGACCATGTCTTCCAAATTCTAGTCTGGGGCTGTTGGAAGACATAATTTATATTCATAATCTACTTATGCGCAAATAGAAATCTAGTCTGGGGCTGTTGGAAAACATAATCCATAATCTACTTAGGCGCAAATAGAATTTTGCTTAGGCGTCACAAACTGACGCCTAAGTAGAATTCTATGTGCGCGTAAGTAGATTATGCATTCCAAATTCTAGTCTGGGGCTGGCATTTGGGTGAAAATATGGTTTGTTTTTTCTTCAAGATGGGAGACATACTCAGGCGACAGAAACAAACGCCGAAGTGGAATTCTATTTGCAGCTAATTATTTTTTTAGTGTGAGACTGGGCTAAATTCAGCTTTGATTACTTAACAACCTTGCCCCAAATACTTGAAACCTTGAATAAATACACAACCCGCATACAGATAGTGGGTTTAATTTATGGAGAAATACTTAGGTGGAAGGAACAGGCGCTGAAGTCGAATTCTATCAATATGTAATTTCAATTATTTGGAAGGCAGTCATGTGTGTTTGGGCGCGCTGAGCTGGCTTCTGCAATGTGTTCAGGCTGTTGGGATTCTGTGACTTCGCTTTCCAAAAAAAGAACAAAGGCAATGCTGGTTGTTGGCTGCATTCCCATTGCTGTCTTTTTCCCCACCAGTTCTGGACTGGATCAAAAATATGCAGTAGCGGTAGCAGTGCAACATCCAGGCTATATTGTTGGTATTTTGTCACTCTGGCAAGACTGTTGCTACTACCGTGCTACTACCCATACAAGAAACAAACTATATTGTATATAGCTGCCGATAATTTCTTGGACCATGATTTGATACTTTTCAGAATATATATATATATATAGATAGATAGCGCTAGCGGTGGGGTTCTTGAGGGTGATGATGGGTTACTTTCAGGTTGGGACTAATGCATCCGGAATGGCTCAACCTTGTCCGTGCCTTCCTATTCCCGGGATTCTTCGCACAGAGAACCAATTTACGTGACAATTTTCTTAGCGCAGAGGTCTCCAGAACGGTTCGGAACGGTTCTGCAGACCTCCAGAACGGTTCGGAACGGTTCTGCACACCTCAACTTTGCACGGAGATATTTCTCCACAGCTTCCAAACCCCCCAAAAAAAACGGTCAAGAGCAGTTCCTCCTGTTTCGCATTTTCAAAACCTTCCAAAGAGCCGCCCTGTGGCTCCAAGGGCCAAGGCTACAAGGAAGTCAGAAAAACGACAAAGGGGAGGCAACTTCTCCGCCTAAGTCTTTGAACAAGCAGTGCAAAGGCATGCTGAGCACAAGGGAGAAGGTGAAACTGGATGTAGACTACAAAAGGCTGGAAGTTTCTCAGCTGTTTGTTCATGGAAGGCGTGGCCCCTTTCAAAATCTTACCTGTCTTGAAAACTGTTCTGTGGAATCTTTTCTAACAAAATCATACAACTGTGTAGTTTGTATTGAAATATCCGTTTGAAAGTATCGCTTGTGTCGAATCATCATTGCTTATGGTACTAGTATGCGTTTATTTGTTCAAACTTTATGTATTAAAGTTAAATAATTATATAGTCAAAATATGCTATTATACAAGTTAACATATGCTATTATATGGAGGTCCCCGGAACCGTTCCGAACCGTTCTGGGGTCTATAGGCTTTGAATCCAGAACCGTTCCGGAACCGTTCTAAATAGTTCTAAATAGTTCTGAGGTTTTGGAAGTATCCGGAACCGTTCCGAACCGTTCTGGGGATATCTCCGGAACCGTTCCGAACCGTTCTGCAAACCCCAAATAATGGCTTATATGTTAACTTACTTTTATACTTGTATATAACTTGATAAAACCAAATATACACACTTGTAGCTTATAGCTACTTTGTAAAATACAACTCATAATCCATAACTCTTGACTATCAAACTTCAATAAATCAATTTATAAAGTTTAGGAACTGTTTTAAAATTGAAACACATTGTTATAACTGTTAATTTACAACTTAGAGCTTCTAGTTATGACTTGACACTAAAAACTGTGTAACTTATAACTTTGTAACCTTTTAACTTTGAACCTTTAACTTGTAACATAACTTTGACTTTACTTCTCGATTTGACTTCAACTGTTTAACTTTATAAGTATATTTTTGATGTTTGCTTTACTTTACTTGCTTTGTATTTATGATTTATATAAGACTGTTTGAGTTTTTAGATGAATTATATGTTCTTGTTTGTTCGTGTATGTTTCAAAGTTTGGAAGTATATCGACGGGGGTTGTTTGTATAAAATGCAACAATAAAGTTTAAGCGTTGTATTTGGATAAAATGACATATCTATAATGATTGTAATCTGTTACTGCAACACTGCTACGGACCAATGCACAACAACGTAGCGACAGAAATTCAGTAACACATCTTTGATCTGCTACAAATACGTAGGATATCGTAGGATTCCGTTTGCAGTTGATAAATTTGTTTCACCATGGTTTACCTAAGTTTTACCGTGGTCTTCGCAGCACCGAAAACAATACTTAAAAACTGTGGATTTGCATTTGCAGTTCATCCATGCACATGAGCACACAGCCATACATACACTCATCAATGCACTAGTTAACCAATTTTACAGTATACAGGGTCACATCGTAATATTGTTTTTATGAGTTGTTTTTCTAGTTGGAGCTTGCGCACATGCATTCTTTGGTGTTCTCCTTTTTGAAGAAATATGGGGCCCCGAATTACACAGATGTTGTATATTGTTGTATACGGTTTTCCTTTCCAACTTACGGACCAATATTTTCAAATACGAAGTTTGTATGTAACATCTAACTTGATGTTGAAAGGTTTTTTGTCCAAGAAATTGGAGCAATGCGTTTTTCTTTCAAAGTGGTGGGTTTCTTCATTGGGTGACATTTTTAGTGGAAACACCCCTTATTTCCATGGATTGCTACATAGTTCTTTCCATAGTTCTTTCCCTGGACATATGAAATCAACAGGAATCCAAATTTAAGAGACTAAGGTTTGAAATAAATAATAATAGTAATAATAATAATAATCATAATAATAATAATTATATATATATATTATACACAATATATAATAGGTAGCAACCCTTTGTCTGCCTTGGTGGCATCCTCATCTCTGAGCCATGCCTCACCGACACTCGGATCACATGTTAAGATCAGATCGAGCTTAGAGAGTGCCTGGAAATCTGTAGGACCTTGCTCCCCCCAATTTTGCCAATTTTCAATCAAACCAATATTTCAAGCAGGTACCCACACCCATGCAACAAAGCATCTGTCTGGTTTTGTATGGTTTTGTCTGAACATGGGGCACCCCCTCCACAGTCCCATGGTTTGTCATCATTTTTCCTATATTGGAATGGCCAATACCGATTCCCGATATAGTAGTGATATAGGGATTGTGCGGATTTATCATGGTCAACTTTAACCCACCCAGAAAAACGCCAGGACCATCCGACATCATCCACGGCCAGGTTGCGAAGGTGCCAGGATTCAAGGCGTTGATCATCGCAGCCGAGACGGCTTCCGTGATACTGGGATCCGGCTGCTTGCGCAAATAGTTGAAGAGAAGATTGCTGGAAACCAAGGAGGAGGAACAGGCGGTGTCAATGCTGAGGCATGGACCTGGAACATCTGAAAGGAACCACATGGTTTTGGAATGTCTTGGATGAAGGGAAACACATGTGAGATTTTCACCAAGTTTTGGGACGCAGCGAACGGAACAGCAAATACCACTGGAAGTCACTAGCGCGAATACCTTAAACATCCAACAGAACCAACATACCTTTGCGTGAATTTAAAAACGTACTAATTATTACGCAACAGCATCATTTAAAACATGAGACATAATCATGCATAATCTTGTTACCTAGCTCGATATGTTTCAATCTTCATGACATGCCCTTCACAACCACCCAGCCTTTTAGGCCCAAGTAGTATGAGAGAATCGTGGAGGATGGGGCACCAAAAAGCCGAGCCCTTGCCCAGGTCTCTGGGTCCTCCTGGTACTGGAAGAAGGGATCCATTTCCTGTCCAATATCACCTGGGGATTCAGATCGGGTGCTTCTTTTAAGGCACAGCGGTGGAAGGGTAAGGCAAAGATGAGTGACACCACCAACAACGTTAAGAACAACATTTGTAGTTTTCATGTATTCATAGGACTGATATGGTGAAAATGCTGGTGCCTAATATTTCTACCTCGTAAACATCCATTGTTCCGTTCGCTCAATGGTTGATGGGGATCACCTTCCCAGCCAAGGTGAAGGAAACAGTACTTGACATGCCTGTCTAAGATAAGTATGTCTATATAATTCTATATATATATATATAGCAGTAGTACCGCACAATGCGGTGGAAACCTATAGGAGAGCTTGGTTGTTGTGAATCACGGATGGCAGAGCGAATCCATTGATGGACCGAAAGGTGGTTGGAGTTCTGTTTCTTGGAGTGGTTGCAATGGTTGTAGCGGTCACCTACCACAACTGCTGGATGTAGTGTGGTGTAGTGAAGTTGTAGTGTAGTGGATTTGTAGTTGTAATGTGGTGTAATTAGTGTAGTGTAGTTGCAGTTGCAGTTGTGGTGTGGTGTAATTAGTGTAGTGTAAATAGTGTAGTGTAAATAGTGTAGTGTAGTGTAGTGTAATGTAGTGTGGTGTAGTGTAGCGTAATTAGTGTAATTAGTGTAATTAGTGCAATTGGTGTAATTAGTGTAATTAGTGTAATTAGTGTAATTAGATGTAATTAGTATAGTGTAGTGTAATTAGTGTAGGGTAATGTAGCGTAGTATATTGGCATGTGTAGCTGTAGTAGTAGTAGTAGTAGTAGTAGTAGTAGTAGTAGTAGTAGTAGTAGTAGTAGTAGTAGTAGTAGTAGTAGTAGTTTAGTGTAGTGGTAGTTGTAGTTTCACAACAACCAACCTTTCCTATAGGTTTCCTATTTTTGAAATTTCCGCCACCGCATTGTGCGGTACTACTGGTATCAATTGTCAGGCTTGGGTACCCCATCAAAGGGTATCTCATCAGCCATGGCTGGCCAGAATGAAAAATTATAAATCATATAAAAAAATATGCTTGAAATATCAAAAATATTAAAAAATTGAAACAAATTATTAAACATTAAAACAAATTAAAACAAATAAAAACAAATTACTCCGTGCCCCTCACTTTTTTCTCTGTGCTAGGTTCTGCTGTACTTAGTCTTAGGTGGCAAGTCTGAAACAGACTAGAACATTGTTTGCAATGACCCCTGCTTGCTGCACCTCTGCTTCTTTCAGTCTATATTCTACTTTGTTTGACATTGAACCCTGCCAAAATGATGATGGAACTATTAAGATAGAATCTTTGTAATGATGATGCATATTAAATACAAGTTGTTTTAACACTTAATCACATCTGGGGTTGAGGGTTGCTCTGATATTAGGGATTGCTGGCAAGGGCCAATTTTATTACAATTGCAGTTACCCCAGTTGGTGCTTACAAACTGTGAACAATTGTGCACAGGACCCAGTGATTTCTCCACGGTGGTTGACTCCGAAGCAAACTCCACTCTACGTGTGATTGCCCCCAGGAGCACATCCTGGCACACCAAGAGGGGAAGCCCCTCCAGGGTTGCGGAACAAATTACAAAAACAAAAGTATACATATGCGAAAAATTAGAAAAATTAGAAAAATTAGAAAACATTAGGAAAAATTAGAAAAACATTAGAAAAAATTAGAAAAAATTAGAAAAAATTAAAAAAAAATAAAAAAAAAATACAGATTTTGGCACCTCCTGCGCCAAATTTTAGTATTCGATTTAGTCTGTGTAGACTAATTTTAGTATTGCTGCAATGTCCTTTTTTTTTGGGCAGACTTTATCAGAAAATTTTACAATATATTGAAACATTTTTTTGAGGAGAATTGCATCTAAATACAAATAAAAAGTGCCAAGTGCTTACAATATAGCTGCGAGTAAATATAGCACATGCTTAAACAAGGTAACGCCGCCCGTAAAGATGCGGGCTGTTTTGCACTCAGGCATTTCTGATGTGCTTCAGGACATGTGGCACAGCTGTCCAAAGGTCTTTGCCATTGTTGTATCTGTACTGCCAGCTGTAGGTCCATTGCCAAAGGCTTTGATTGACATGGCCTGCCTTTGACTTTGTTGCTAAAGTTTTAGGCAGGTAATCTTTCAAAGATCGCCATTGCCTATCCAGCACCTGTGTGCCAGCTTTCACAACGTCCCCTGCACGTGTGCGAACTGTACGAGAGAATTCAAGCAAAGCATGTTTCACCCCCCCCACCCCAACCCCAGCGTATGTCACGTAACGCTTCCAAGGAACGTTAACATCACCCCACCCCCCCACCCCAACCCCAGCGTATGTCACGTAACGCTTCCAGGACGTTAACATCAGCCCCACCCCCCCACACCCCCAACCCCAGATGATCAGCGTAACATCATCAGCGTAACATGAACGTTAACATCCCACCCCACCCCGCCCCAACCCCAACCTCGCGTCGTCACTTAACGCTTCCAAGTAACTTTAACATCACCCCACCCCCCCCCCCCACCCCAACCCCCGCGTATTGTCACTTAATTCTTCCAAGGAACGTTAACATCACCCCACCCCCCCCACCCCAACCCCAGCGTATGTCACGTAACGCTTCCAAGGAACGTTAACATCACCCCACCCCCCCCCACCCCAACCCCAGCGTATGTCACGTAACGCTTCCAAGGAACGTTAACATCACCCCACCCCCCCACCCAAACCTCAGCGTATGTCACGTAACGCTTCCAAGGAACTAACATCACCACCACCCCCCCACCCAGACAACCCACAAAAAGTATGAACGCAGTAAAAAAACGTTAAAAAAAACCGCGTCTCTACGGGCGGCGTTAGCTTAAACAACTGTTACATATAGCCATAGCCTTCATTCTGCTAGCTGGAATGATTGTGACACATGACGACAATAACAGTCAATAAAAGTTGAATCAATATCAAAGGTGAATATTTTTGGAGCTGTGCCACCTGCGGGAATTCAGAACTGAGAAAGAATGAGAACGAACAAACGGGAACCTTTAGTGACCAAAAAGTATCAAAAAGTGATAACATTAAACATCGTATCTATTTTAACTTCTAATTCCATGTAAGAAGTTCCTCTGTCCATCTCGCCATCATGAATGAACATCGAAAATGTGTTGCTTCCCAACTGCCAGTTCCATCTGACCCACTTCGACTTGGAGATGAATTGAGTATCGGATAGTAGCGGTACTGGGATGTTAATACCTCTGAAACCTGCCAAAGTTGCCAAGCCTTGTGGCCTCACCAGGCCTGGATGTGGGAATCCTCAGCTGTGGTGATTTGGTGGTAGTCTGGTGCAAAGCGTATCCCCGGTGAAAACGTCAAGAGATGACACAAAATTTGAAAAAAACTCTCCATTTTCTTTATGAAAGATCGAGTCAGATCGAGCGCGTGGTTCATCTTGAGTTTGCGGACCAAATGTATCCAAATGTCATCTGTCGTCGTCGAGTGCAATCCGCTCATTTTTCACACATGTCATCAAAGACTTAGCTTGGCCTACTACCTACAAAACCATTCATGTTGATGGGCCTTAGGGTTGGACATGGTTGGACATGTCCACGAATAGCTTGGAAGATGTTGGAAGTGTCATTCACATCGCGCTCAACCGGAAACTCTCCCAACGGGGATTGATGTCATTTCCAGCATAGAAATTTGATGAAACTAAGGAATGGAACAGCAACTTAGTGACCTGTGAAACTTGAATCCCACTCTCCAGGAACGCACACCCAAGCAAATCAAGTTTGCTTGAGAAGATGTTGCCAGATTTCACAAACCCCTTGATTTTCTGGTGGGGGTTCGACAAGGCTGGTGGTATGTCCCATTGAAACATCGCCACATCATGGCATGAGCATCTCCAACAATCCATTTGAAGGTGATGTTCAAAACATCTGAATTTTATCTAAGTCTGATCAAAGAAACGACAACAAAAACATTGTCAGAAGAATAATAAGAATCCAATGGGACATATTGGGACTCCAATTGGGACTCCAATTGGGACTCCAATTGGGAC